ATTAGCAGTCAAATGTCTTAGGCACTATGCTGTCAGAGTGCCCCAAAATAATAGTAGGAGACTTTAATACACCACTTTTGATGAAGGACAGAACAATTAGAAACTCAACAAAGATATAGAAGATCCAAACAACACAATAAACCAACTAGGATTCATAGATGTATACAGAACACTCTACCCAACAATAGCACATATATATCCTTTTCAAGTACACATAGAATATATGTTAGACCATATGTTAAGCCACAAAGTTAGCCTCAATAAATTTTAAAACATCAAAATACTACAAAGCATTTTCTTAGAATATAATGAAATCAATGACAGGTATATCATGGAAAGTAATAAAAAACATAGAAATAGAATAACATCCTGCTTTAAAAATACTAGGTAATAGAAGAAATAAATTTCTTGACCCAAATGGAAATGAAAACATAACCTACCAAAATCTTTGGAACACAGCAAAAGCAGTGCCCAGAAGACAATTTATAGCAACATACACATAAATCAAGCAAAGAAGCAAGAACCAAAATCAACATCTTAACCCAACATCTCCAACAATTAGAAAAAGAACAGCAAAAAAGGGTATGGTCACCAGGAAAAAGGAAATACTAAAGATTTGAGCAGAAATAAATGAAACAGAAAAAAGAAAATCAATACAAAGATTCCACAGGACTAGAACTTGACCCTTTGAAAGGATTGATAAAATTGTCAAACCAGTGGCAAATTCATAAAGGAAAAGAAGGAAAATATGCAAATAACACAAATAAGAAATGAAATAGTTGATGTCACAAGAGAACCTATTGAAATAAAAAAAGATAATAACAGAATACTATGAAGAATTGTACTCTAGCAAATTTGAAACCCTAGAAGAAATTTACAAATTTCTAGAAACATAATACCTACCCAAAGTAACATAATCTGAGATAGATAATTTGAACAGACCCATCACAAAAGAAGAAATTCAACAGGTCTTAAAAAATGTCCCAACAAAAAAATCCTGGCCCAGATGGCTTCATTGGTGAATTCTGCTAAACATTCAGAACTGAGCAGACACCATTTCTACTTAGTCTGTTACAGAACATAGAAACAAATGTTCAGAAGTCATCACTTCTGAACTGATTGTATGAAGCAAGCAAAACCATCACTAAAAAAGAAAATTATAAACTGATATCCCTCATGAACATAAACACAAATCCTAGCCAACAGAATCCAACTCTTATAAAAAAAATAATACATAATGATCTAGTGGGATTCATACCAGTTATGCAAGGATGAGATATTAGAAAATACCCATCACACACATTAAACAAAGGGAAAAAGAAACCCATATAATCATATCAATTGATGCAGAAAGGGCATTTGACAAAATCCAACACCCATTCTTGATAAAAATTCTCAGCAAAATAAGAATAGAAGGGAAATTCTTTAATGCAATTAAAAGCATATAGACACAAAACAATTGGTCGACATTATTCTTGAGAGAGAGTGAAATCATTCCACTGTGAACAGGAACCAGAGAAAGATGCACTTTACCACAACTCTTGTTTAAATTTTATTGTAAGTCCTAGCCAGAGCAATAAGGCAAGAAAGGGAAATAAAAGGTATCCAAATTGGCAAAGAAGAAGTAAAATTATCTCTATTTGTAGATGATGTGATCCTATACATAGAAAATCTTAAAGACTAACTAAAAGACTACTGGAACTAATAGAAGAATTCAACAAAGTGACAGGGTACAATATCAACACCCAAAAATCTGTTGGATTTTTCTACACTAACAGAGAATTCTGAAAAAGAAATCTGGAAAACAATGCCATTCACAATAATCACCCAAAAGATGAAGTCTTAGGAATAAATGTAACCAGAGATAAAACAACTTAAGTGACCATAATGGATGAATGAATAAACAAACTATGGTATATACCCATAACAGATGTCTTGGTTCTCTAGTGCTGCTATAACAGAAATACCACAGATGGATGGCTTTAACAAAAAGGAATTTATTCTTTTACAGTTTAGGAGGCTAGAAGTCAGAATTCAGAGTGCTGGCTCTAGGGGTTGGGTGAAGGCCCCTTGACCTTGGGCTTCACCTCTGCCTTTTGTTCCAGGCCCGCTGGAGCCAGAAGCTTCTTCTGTGTCACACAGCTATTGGCTGCTGAGGCTGAGGAACTCAAGACTGACAGTAAAATGGCACAATTCCAAGATCAGCAGGCACCATGGCAGGCCACTGGTTCAAGTCCAGGAAGTGGAGATGAAGACTTGGACAAACACAGCATCCAAATATGCCAAGCTAGAGACCTTCCTCAAAGCTTCTCCATTATATACTGGAAGCTGGCTACACCCCAAAGGCAATTACTTAGTTGCTCATAGAAGATTACACCATGGAGGTGATTACAATTTCATCATGGAGAATAAATATATCCAGCTGCCAAGCACTCAAAATCAAGGCCTAGCCAAGTTAACACACAACCTTAACTGCAACAATAGAATACTACACAACATTAAGGAATAAGGATGAATCTGTGAAACACCTCAGCACATGCATGAAACTGGGGAACATTATGGTCAGTGAAATTAGTTAATCCCAAAGAGGCAAATATTGTATGAGACCACTACTGTAAAAAGTAAAGAAAAAGGTTTACACACAGAAAAATTCATTCTTTGAAGGTTACTAACAGTGAGGGGGAGAGGACAATAAATCACTAACTAGAAGCCCTGGTGGCATAGTGCCATTTGACTGCTAACCAGAAGGCTGCTGGTTCAAATCCACTGGCCAATTCTCAGAAGGAAGGTTGGGCAATCTACTTCAGTAGTGATATCACCTTGGAAACCCAAGGAGGGGTCACTATGAGTCAGATCTGACTCAGCGGCAGTGAGTTTTTTTTTTTTTTTTTTTTTTAGGGGGTAGGCACTATTAACTTGGGTGAAAGGAAAGACAATAAACAATAAGGTGGTGGTCAATACAAAATGATCAAAGCAAAGGAAGACACAGGAAGAACACAAAAGTTAAAGGCAACAAAGGTAAATACTATCACATATACAATCCTGCAGTAACAGTAATAACAATAATCTGTGAGTGGATCCATAGATAGAAACCCAAGCGAAGTTTGGGTGGGAAGGCAAATGGGACAATACTGGTGAATATGTATAGGTGTGACCAAGTATATTTCTACATATGTATTTATACATGCTGTAAATATATCCATGAATATAACAGAGCATATAGGGGGAAAAGTTTTGAAAGTTTCTTAGCCATAACCAAACACCTTGAGGGACTGAGTCATTGGGCATGGGGTGGAGGTGGGGGTCCGGACACCTAGTGTCTTAAGAAACACTAAGGTCAATTGGCCTTAGTCCACAAAGATAATGTTCTACATCCCACTTTGGTGAGTAGCAACTGAGGTCATAAAAACTTCTGAGCCATTTAAGGTGCAACTATTGGTCTCTCCCCGTCCAGAGGAAAGAAGAGAGAAGAAAAGCAAAGAAACAAGGAAATAGTTAGTTCAAAGCACTATGGGCCACATTAACCCCATCCTCTGCAACCCTAAGACTAGAACTACATGTTGCCCAGTTACCACTGCTGACCTTTCTGAAAGGGATCACAGTGGAAGGTCCTGGATAGGGTGGGATAAAAATGTGGAACAAAACTCAAAATCATAAAAAAAGACCAGGCTTACTGATCTAATAGAGACTGATAGAGCTCCCAAGACTACGGCCCTTAGACATCCTTCAAGGCTGGAACTGAACTCATACCCATGGCTTAAATTTCATCCAAACCATGTTGTTGTTATTTGCCATCGAGTCGGCCCCGACTCATAGCGACCCCTCCTTGGGTTTCCGAGGCAGTATCACTACGGAAGTAGGAATGCCCAACCTTCCTTCCGAGGAGTGGCTGGTGGGTTTGAACCGCCAGCCTTCTGGTTAGCAGTCAAGTGACAGGGCTATACGATGAACAATAGACCAGGGAGGTGCACACTTATTAGAACAATCAACCATACAAGAGCAAAAGTGCAGCGTTTCTCCAGGGATGAAGCTCAGAAGACATGAAGGAATAGGAATGGAGGATGAAGTTAAATGGAAATCACGGGGAAGAAGTGGAAAGAGAGCTGTTCCACTGTGGGGATTACAGTCAATGTCACGAAACGTATATGTATATGAATTGTTGAATGGAAAACAAATTTGCTCTGTAAACTTTCATCCAAATCACAATAAAAGAAACAAAGAAAAATGAATTGCATATCTACACACCAGCTGAAATAGAAAAATAAAAAATAATAAATATGTTAAGTAGGAATGAATCCAATGAAAGACTTGCAAACTCTTATTGAGTACGTTATAAAACTTCATTAAAACATATTAAAGAAATCTGAAATATCAGGAGAGATATAATAACTTTCAGGTGCAATATTTTAAGATTTCCGTAATTGTTCTATAGATTCAATCAATAACACTTCATTCAAAATCTTAGAATTTTTTCTTAGATCTTGACAGCAGTTAAAAAATTTATGTGCCCAACCAAAAGACCAAGAATTGTCAAGACACAGAAGAAAAAAATGAAGAAACTGAGAAGCCTAGTCTAGTATATATCAAGACTTATCCAAGAGCTGTGATGATTAAACCAGTCAAAAATGATTGGCACAGGGATCTACAAGTGCTCTAATGGCACAGAACAAAACCCAGGAAGCAAATCCAAGTCTGAACAAAACTTGATATAGACGGAAGTGGCATTGTGTGTAATAGGGTGTAAAGTGATGTCCATTCAATAAATGGTATTGACACAGTAGTTACCCCTTTAGAAGAAAGTGAAATCGAATCACTACTTCATTTTATATGTAAAAATAAAATCCAGGAGAATCAAACTGATACAGAAATGTAATGTTTAAACTTTTAGAGGAGATTATAGAAAAATGTTATTTTCATCTTGAGATATGAGAATTTTTAAAATGAATTAACTTGCCTTCACTGTTCAGAAATCACCAAGTGTATTTGGGATGGTTTTTCAGAGACATTTTTCCAGATTTCACCTTGGCACCTGGCTTGCATTTTACTGGGAATACTCTTCAGTGGCCTCTGTGTTGCTGTCATGGGCTGTGAGATTTTCATCTTCAAATTCCACAGTAAGTAGCAGAAGGAAGCATGGGACATTAGTTTACTTATAGTTCCAGTGTAGCCAAGAGTAAGGATGTCCCATACATCTCCCTGGTTTGTTCTTTCAGTCTCAGGCCACAGGGACCATAGTTCTTATCCTCCATGATAGGTGAAATGGATCCCTCAAAAAAGACTGGTCCGGAGGCCCTTCCTACTTCATGTATGGCCAAGAATAAGAGAAAGAATGGTTATCAGTACCTACAGTACATATAAATTTCTAAGAGAAACACCAAGACTCTGGGAAAAAAGTTTTGATGTACTAGATCACCAAATAGTTTTATGAAAGAGGATAATTAATGACAATGAAGTAAAATAATATTCAACCCCACTAAGGGTTTTCACCGTCAAGAACCAATTTCCTGCTCTCTAGGGATGATATTGCCCCTTTAAGAATGCATGCCACTATCTTACCTCCTTCTCCCCACCATCTCCTTCACTCTCCCAGCAGATACCAACCTCCATCTCCACATGCTCCCAAACATCAGTTCTTTTCTTCATAAAGCTGTTCCTTTTCACTTTTTCTCTTTTGAAACCCAGATAAAGGCGTTCAGTACTGAGACATGGGGAAGGAGGTTCAGAGGAGAGTTCTAGAAGTCAGTGTCTTTCAGATCCCCCATATCCTTCCACTTGAGCAAGCAGTTATGGTTGTGTTTGTACCACACATATACTGTATCAATGACTGAATACTTTCTTTCTGTTTCAGGGAAACTTATGAGAGAATTAGGTAAGTGTCTTACTGTACTCAGAGCCTTCTGTACACAGTTTAGCTGGATCCCACCCTGTTGCATGGTTTGAGCCATCTATATGCTTTCTTGGCTCCAGACTGGAAAGAAAGCATGAATAGGTTTAAGAGAAGAGCTGGTTTACTCTCTTCATCCATTAACTGATGAATTTATCCTCAGGGGTCTGCGAGATTTAAGATTGACATCAGGATCTGGAAACTCCCTAAAACTGTGTGCAAAATCTGCATGTTGGTACATTTTGTGGAGAGAAGAACGGCAGAGGTCATGAACTATCTGAGTGTATGTGCGGACCCAGAATAGTTGAAAACCTGGGGGAGTCTCCTCCAATTACCTTACAATTTGAGGCTTTAACCATGCCCTGAATCAGCCACTGAATATTCTGCTTTTGTTTCAAGAAAACTCCAGGAAAAGTCTGGGTAATCATGTAACTGCAGGCAAAGCTTTCTTCTCCTTTGCTCCTGGGCCCTGTTCTACAATTTCAGTCTCTTCTCTATTTTTTTTTTTTTTTCTAGAGAAGAGAAGGATACAAGGACAAGCAGGTGAGAGAAACTATTCCTGCCTCCCGCCCTTTTTTCCTTTCCATGTCCCTAGGTTATGGATTCTTATAACCTGCCATCTATCAATGTCTACAGAGGCAAACTGATGATGGCTGCAGGATTCTGGATACCCTCAAATTGTCTACAAGATGTTTTGGGAGGTGCATTTTTGTAAACCGGGCCTACAGTCTTTATCAGATCTCAAGTTGGTCTGTGACACCCGAAAAGGGCAAATGCCTTTGGTTTCTCCCTTATCCTTGCCTCCTTTCTCAATGAGAGCACTTACCCTGTTGTTCTGTTTGTTTTCAGAATGGAGAGAGGCCCGGAAACACACAGGTACCAACAGATGAGGAGCTGGTGTCAGAGTTTAGTGGGCATGGGAGAGGGAATTAACCTGTGACAGGTATGGACCACTGAGGGGCACTGAGGCCCACGTGGATGCAGATGAGAAATCTGTGATGCCCCATTCAACCTCTGGCTGCAATTACCCTGACCCACTGCAGAGAACTGAGAGCACTAGTGACTGTCTGGGTAGAGGTGAAAGGGAATGAAGAGGAAGGAGGTGGACGGAATTGATGAAGGGGAAGCAGCTGATTATTGGATCATTCAAAGTCTCAGGAAAGTCTAATAGTGATTTGCGTGAAAGGAAAATGTTTGGATAGGGTGGTATATAAGAGTCTACAACACATAGTTGGGCACCTCCAGGGCATTGGTGAGGTTCAGGGCTGCACTGGATGTAAGGGAAGGGCTGAAAGAGCAGTGTCAGATGAAGATTCTGGCTCTGAGACCTCATCTTATACCACTGTAAGCTAGTCTGGAATGGAAATGGGTGACTTCTGGCCCAACCCAAGTACCTTCCTCAGAAACTCATGCTCTCTTTTCTCTCTCCCTTTCCTACCACACTCCAGTGGAAGTGACTCTGGACCCAGACACGGCTCATCCCCAGCTCCACATTTCTGATCTGAAAGCTGTAAACCATATGGATGTTCCGCAGGAAGTGCCCAACTCAGAGAAGAGATTTAAGAAGAGAGAATGTGTGGTGGCTTCTCAGGGATTTTCTTCAGGGAAGCATTACTGGGAAGTGGACGTAGGACTCAAGAAAAGATGGCAATTGGGGGTGTGCTGGGATGACGTGGACAGGAAAGGAAAGGATGTGATTTTGTCTCCCCAGAATGGGTACTGGATCCTTGGATTGAGCAAAGGAGATGGATATTTCACATTCAACCCCAGGAGAATCTGTTTCCCTCTAAAAACCTGCCCTACACGAGTGGGAATCTTCCTAGACTATGAGGGTGGGAAAATTTCCTTCTTCCATATAAATGAACAGTCTCTCATTCATACCATGACACATCAATTTGAAGGCTTACTGAGGCCCTTCATTGAGCCTTGGTCCTATCATGAGGAAAATCATATGCCCATAGTTATCTGTCCAGTGTCTTGGGAATCAGAGAGAAAAGCCCCTTCTCAAAATGTTCCCACATCCCCAGACACAGACAGCCTAGATCCTTGCCCACAGGTGACCACACCCTTCCTCTCCAGGAGTGATGCCATGAGGGAATCATGATTCACAGTCTCCTTTAAACTGCTAAGTTTTCTCTCCTGACTCTAGTGCCTGCAGCAGCCAGCAGTGATAGCATCCATACGAAGGAAGAGTCATGTTACCCTTAGTTGGAGAAGAGAAAGCTGGAAAGTGGGTTTTGTGTGCACAAACTAAGTCCAGCTAAGTAACCTTGGACAAGTCAAAACTTCTCAGCCTCCTTACCTGTTAATCAGGGGCAGTGATTCCCACCTCATGGGTCATGGTGAAGATGAAAGAGACAGTGAATATGAATCATATTTGCATCTGTTTGATGGCATAGTGTTTGCTAATGATTTCTTTATATTAAAGTGTTTGGTCTTTTTATTTATTACACATTATTTTTCTCTATTCCAAATCACTGTTGGAATAGTTATTGGTGCTTGCTCCATGACAGGACAACTAATTAAAGAGGAATTACATTTCCTAACTCATTCTGTGAGGCCAAGATTACACTTATACCAAAATCGGATGAAGATATTACAAGAAAAGAAACTTATTGACCAGTATGCCTCATGAATAAAGATGAAAGAGTTTTAAATATTATTTTGTCAAATTGAATATAATAATGTATTCAGGGAAGCAGGACAAGATAGTGTTTTAAGCAGTCATACACTCTGAAACTCCTACAAAATTATACAAGGAAACAAGCAAATATTGATAAAATAATTTCAGAACTCTAGACATCAGTGAAAAGGTTGGAGTTGAAAAGGGAACAATGAATCAAGTAAAAGGTAACATACCATGGAAGAGCAGAGGTTTGCTAAGGGTCCTTATCCCAAATCCCAAACTGGCTTAACTCAGCCATCTTGGAGCGGCAGCATCTGATGCAATGCAGCCCAGACTTTGTGAACAACCAGCCCACATTAAGGCACCATGGGCCCTACACCTGAGCACACGGACAAGAAAATGTACTGTGGTGTACTCACTGCAGGTTTGGGATTGCATAGGTCTTAGGAAGAAGGGGTTGTCAGGCACAGTGTAGCCCAGCTCTGGTGAAGACACTGTGGGCAAGGACAAGTGAGCAGGCCAACCTAAGAAATAATGATGTGGCACACTTCAGGCCTGGGATCACATAGGTCTCAGTCAGACACAGCAGACACAGTGGAGTGCAGACCAGACTTTGTGAATGGGCAGAGACCAGTAGAGTCACCAGAATGGGTGCCATGGCCCACCATAGGCCCAAATTCTCATGACTCCTGGGAGGGAGCTGTGTAGAATGTGCAATACAGCCCTGATAGTGTGATCAGCCAGGTCTGGAAAAAAGAGACACAGCGAACACAATGTGAATGGAAACTCTTGAGCAGACAGACCTGGGATAGGGAGAACAGAGAATTTACTAGAGTTTCCTTGTGTTCTAGGGAAGACAAACATGACGAGCATAGTGTGGGCCAGTGTACATGAACAGTGAGGACACATGGTGAATTAACAACAGCTGCTACTTTTGGGGTGAGACATGGAGGCTAGTGTTGCACAGGTAACACCTCTGGGAGGGGAGAACCGTGGTTAGTCTGCAACATCTGAAACTCCTGGAAGGAGGGGAGTCTGGGGCCAGAGTTGCATGGCTGGTGCTTGTAGTAGGGGAGGAATAATTTACTGTGAATTAAAGTACATGTGGGGGAGAAATTTCATGAAAGGAAATGTCTTGGCAAGTAGAAAAGCTAGAGTTAAGGTAGTGTTGGTTGGTAAATACAACTGGTATGTTCTCCATGCTTTATAAGGGATATATATAATACACTCATATTAAGATTATAGGGTATTGAAGGTACAAAAAGAACATAAATGGGGGAATTGACACAAGCATAGAGGTTTTGTATATTACTAAAGTTAATTTGGTATAAATATAAGCCAGGCTGGTCTAAATGGAAGATATTAAATGTAATCCTCATGGTACCCAAAAAGAAACTAAAAAATTATAGTCAAAAGGAAAGAAAATGATTCATCTTACACATGCAAACAAATCTATACACAAAAAATATCAGTGCTAGAGGAAAAGAAGGACAAAGGAGGTATGACACACATATACACACACAAACAAATAACACAATGGAAAAGTAAGTTTTCCTTTGTTGGTAATTACCAATGGATTAAATTACAAATAGATTAAATGTTCCAATCGAGAGGCAGAAAATGGCAGATCGGATATAAGAACTTGATCCATCTACACCTCAGGCACAAAGACCTAAATGGGTTTGTGGATGTGAATCTTCAAAAATGAGGTACTGGTATATCTCAGTTGGGTGACTTCAGACCTAAATGACAAACTCCATTTTGAATTAAACTAAGATTACTATTTCTGCTTTTCCAAAGAAAACATTCAATTTTTTTTTTTTTTTAATTAG